TTTATGAAAAGAATGATACTCAGCTGAGAATTAAATTCAACAGATATGGTCTTAAACTTTTCCCAGGGTATTATACTCTCAGAACGTAGTTAAGTCACAACCACAATATCCCTTCCTTTTTCAAACTTGCACATAGCATATGTCACCAGATGCAAAACATTTCCATTTATTTCAATTGGTACATTAACCAGACTACCAGTTAGTAGGGCAGCTGAATCACAAATACTGTCTTGCTAATCTGCAGATCTTCAGCAACACAATTTGCATTTGTGCAAGTGAAAAAACAATTTGCCATGCAGTTCACTTGTGGCCAAATCTCAATTTACAACACACTTATGAACTACTCTTTTTGGCTGTATCACTGACACTGCCATGGTTATTCGTCATGTTCAATGTGTCATCTCCTGCTATGGGATGTTACCTTTGTCTCATGACTAACTGTCATTGCTAAATGTGAGAACATCCATACAGATGTCAAACAATGAATATTGCACATTAGAGGTGAGTTCTTGGATGAAACTCTTTTTCTGTTGAGCAAAATAAACATGTCAAGGCCACCACATGCACCAATAAAATATTTCTATATTATTTTCTAATGTTCCAGAAAATTAACTACTCATTTTCAGAAAACCAAAAGTTTAATCATCTCTGAATATAAAAACAGTGCAACACAAGAGAACTGCTAGGAAAGACATCATCACCTCTGGAGTCAGGACCAGCAAAACCAACTTCCTTGAGCCAACACTGAATATATACTGGGCAAGAAAAAGCAGATTCACTTGAGCTGCCCACAGTGCTGATGAGGCAGTGTTCTTCCTTCAAACCTTGTTCAGAGTTACAGTCATGAGTGAAAAGATGAATGTGCTAGCTATGAAGCTCACTTGGATTTTCCCAAATTAATCTGCTTTTGTGCTTAAGGAAGAATTGCTTTTCATGTACAGCTTGTAGTTTTTCTTATAAAGAAAGGATGAGTTTGCTTAAAATTCATAATAAAGGCATGGTGGATCTTGATGAATCAGATTTTGGATGTGAATAAAAGTGATCTAGTATTTGCCTAAGCAATTAGTCTTTACATTCGTATTTACTAATGCTGGCCTTAAAAAGAATAACTGACAATGACATACCAGGTGGTGAATCTGAATTTCCATGGTCTTCTGCATAGGATGAAAGCAAGCAAGTTTGTTCTGCCATTCTACAAGAAGCAGTCTGACAGCAGAGTTATTTAGACATTCTTGTTTATTTCTATATTATTCAAGTACAGTTTCCCTTGTGAGATACAATTCCAATTTAAACTTATTCCTATTTCAAATTTTCTATGAGACTATTTTGGAGCTACTTCAGAGCTGATTAAGTTGCTCTCTGAAGACAGCAAGCAAATTCCACTGCAGAGAAAACAAAATAAGCTAATTTTTATCTGTGAAACTCTGTAGTGCTGCTGTCCTGTATCTTTTTTCAGTTTATATCAGAATTCATCTGACCAGACATTTCTATTTCTTTGTTCTGTCTAGCTGAGAACTGTCAGTATGCAGTATTATCCCGCTATCATGAGAGTAAAACTGTACACATTTAATGAAAATTTCCTATCCCTGTATCAAATTCATACCTAGATATATGGCATTTATCATAAACTGACGCCAGTCCCGTAACTGTATGGAATTTTTCTCTCTTCCTTGAGGTTGGTTTTTGTTTTGTTTGGTTTGGTTTACTTTTTTGTTTGTTTGTTTGTTTGTTTGTTGTTTGTTTGTTTGTTTTTGGAGGGGGTCTTCTTATTACACTGTAACTTTAAAGCAAGCATGTGGGTACTTATAAGGTCTGAAAATGAATGAAAATTTATGCAAATGGACAATCTGGTGTTCCTTGTAGAGGACATTAGGGAGGTACAATAACTTGAAATTCGCGTTCCTATCTGCATTTGCCCTCCAATGTATTGAAAATACCCAGATGGAATTTGCTGAGTTGTGTATTTATCAATCCTAACAGGCTGCGCGCAGAACCTTTTGAAGACAAACCAGCCGTTAACAGCTGGAAGAACAATGCTAACCGCTGTACTGTGTAATAGTTTTTACAGCTTAACTAAAACAAATAGCCTGATCCTTCAGTATGGTAATTCTAGCTTTGTCAGTATTCATAGAGCATTGGGTTTATTTGTATGAGGCTTAAAAATGTACAAGGTGTGCCACTTGTTATGTTCATGTAGTATATTCACACATCATGTTAAAAGTAAGGAGCTTCAAATCACAATTGTTAGCATCTAAAGATAGCTAGGCTTTTAAGAAATGCTTATTAATCTCTTTTTCTGTTAAATCTTGTGAACATTTTTGTCTGTAGTGGGAATGGGCAAGCCAGAAACCAAGAAGTTCGCTTCTTGTATGTTTTTTCTGGGCACCTACTTCAAAGTTTTCCAAAGCTTCTTCCAAACAGCACGTATTTAAAATTTAAACAGGTGAATACTAAATTCTGTGTTCACTGTTAGGACACCACTGAGAAACTATCACTGTTGTGGAAAGGAGCTCCCACCGGTCCTGAATGAAACTTTAATTGAGGTATGAAATATAGGAGAATCAATCTATAATCCACAGAATGATTAAGGTTGGAAGGGACCTTAAAGATCATCCAGCTCCAACCCCCCCTGCCACGGGCAGGGACACCTTCCCCCAGCCCAGGTTGCTCCAAGCCCCGTCCAGCCTGGCCTTGGACACTGCCAGGGAGGGGGCAGCCACAGCTGCTCTGGGCAGCCTGTGCCAGTGACTCACCACCCTCACAGGGAAGAATTTCTTCTAATCTGTCAGTTTAAAACTGTTACCCCCTCATCCTATCACCGCATTCTTTGATAAAAAGTCCCTCCCCATCTTTCCTGTAGGCCCCCTTTACATACTGGAAGGCCGCCGTAAGGTCTCCCCAGAGCCTTCTCTTCTCCAGGCTGAACAACCCCAACTCTCTCAGCCTGTCCTCATATGGGAGGTGCCCCAGTCCCCTGATCAACTTCCTAGCCCTCCTTTGGGGATAGAGTATTTCTAGCAGGTCCATGTGTTTCTTATTGTCGTGGTTTAGGCTTGATTGGCAGCCAACCACAATGCAGCAGCTCTCTCTCCCTTCCCCTCCAGCAATGAGAAGGGACAGAGAGCCAGGCTTGGGGTTCAAGATAGGACTGGGATGGGGGAAAATCCCCCTTTTATGATCACGAGCAAAAGGCAGACTCGTTAGGGGAAGAAAAAAAGAACATACATTTATTACAGACACTAACAACACATAACAGAGTAGGACAGTGAGAAGCATTGCCACATCTTGAGAACACCTTCCCCCCACCCCTCCCTTCTTCCCGGGCTCAGTTCTGCTCCCGATATCTCTACCTCCTCCCCCAGTGGTGCAGGGGCAGGGAATGGGGGGTGCAGTCAGTGCTGCCACTTCCTTCATCTTCGGTGAGGGGAGTGTCCGAAACTTGTTACCCCCTGCTCCATCGTGGTCCCCCTCTCACAGGAGACAGTCCTCCACAAACTTTCTCTGACTTGAATTCCTCCCATGGGCCGCAGCGTTCCCCACACTGCTCCGTCATGGGTCACTAACTTCCTCCGACTGGATTCTCTCCCACGGCTGCAGCCCTTCCCGAGCTGCTCTGGTGTGGGACTCCCTCGCATGCTGCAATCCTCCCAGCACTGAATTACAGCAGCGGGGCTACCTTTTCCCACGAGACCCCGGCCTTCTTTGGGCACAGAACCTTGATCAGGCAAGCAGAAGCCACAGGCCGTAAATCAATGTCTGCTCCACCGTAGATCTTCATGGGTGGCAGGGGGGGCCGCCCTGCCGTCTCACCACAGGATACAGGGGGGTCTCTGCTCCGGCACACCTCCCCCCTCCTTTCTTCCTCCGTTCCTCCACTGACCTTGGTGTTCATGCAGCTGCAGCAACTCCTCCTCACAAGTCCGACTGCCCGTCACCACGTCCCTTCTTAAATACGTTATCGCAGAGGCCCAGCCGATTGGCTCAATTTCCCAAACAGAAGTGGAGCTGACTTGGAGCTGGGGGAGCTTCGAGAAGCTTCTCACAGGGGGCCGCCCCGATAGCCCCCTCCCCTGCCACCAAAAAACTCCACCACTCACTCAACCCAGGACACTTATGCTGGGGACCCCAGAGTTGAACACGTAACCAGGTGAGGTTTCATGACAGCAGAGTAGGAGGGGAGAATCCCCTCCCTCGACCTGCTGGCCACACTGCTCTTGAGTACCCCAGGATACAGTTGGCTTTCTGGGCTGTGAGCACACACACATTCCTGGATCATAGTCAGTTTTCTATCCACTAATACCTGAAGTCCTTCTCCGCAGGGCTGCTCTCAATCCACTCATGGCCTAGTCTGTATTTGTGCTTGGGATTGCCTCACCCCATGTGCAGGATCTTGCACTTGGCCTTGTTGAACTTCATGAGGTTTGCACAGGCCCACCTCTCCAGCCTGTCCAGGTCCCTCTGGATGGCATCCCTGCCCTCCACCGTGTCACTGCACCACACAGCTTGGTGTCACTGGCAAATTTGCTGAGGGTGCACTTGATCCCAGTGTCCGTGTCACTGACAAAGATGTTAAATAGCTCTGGTCACAGTACTGACCCCTGAGGAATGCCACTCATTACTGGTCTCCACTCGGACATTGAGCCATTGACCACAACTCTTTGAGTGCGACCATCCAGCCAATTCCTTATCCATCGAGTGGTCCATCTGTCAAATCCATGTCTCTCCTATTTAGAGACAAGGATGTCATGCAGGACAGTGTCAAATATTTTGCACAAGTCCAGGCAGATGACGTCAGTTGCTCTTCCCTTATCCACCAGATCTGTAATCCCATCATATAATGCTATCAAATCCATCAGGCATGATTTGCCCTTAGTGAAGCCATGCTGGCTGTCACCAATGACCTCTTTATTTTCCACATGTCCTAAAATAGTTTCCAGGAGGATCCACTCCATGATCTTGCCAGGCACAGAGGTGAGACTGATTGGCCTGTAGTTCCCAGGTCTTCCTTTTTTCCCTTTTTAAAAATGGGGGTTGTGTTTTCTCTTTTCTAGTCAGAGGAAACATGACCCCCAATTTTAAAAAGGGAAAAAAGTATTATTAGTAGATATAATTATTAATTTTATAGTAAATTTTGTGACAGGAAGTTTCCCTGTTAAAATAGCCTTACACTAACAGCAATCTTCTCCCCTGTTTATTAAATTGTATACTGTACCTGTGAATTACTACTAGGTTAATCCATCAAATCAGATGACGAGTTAGGAACATGACTATCCTAAATAATAAACTCAACAGCTTAAATACAAGTCAGACCCCAGGTTTTCCACTGATTAAACTATGAAAATGTGGAGGAAACAGGAATGCCAACTGTCAGAGGAAAGTGGTGCTGGCATACAGCTGCCATGAGCCTCTCAGCCAGGAGAGTGCAAGCTGATGGGGTTAACAACAACAAAGTATTGACTCATACAGTTTCTGAAGACGGCTACAATTCCCAGCATGGAAAGTCTTCTAAGTGCAGAGTCTGTAACAGCCGTGTGGAGACCATGCTCTGACCCGTTTGTACCTGACGAGAACCTTATCATCCAAGCCCCATAATTTTTCAGCAAAATAAATGCAATGTTAAGGTCTGAGAGCAAGGCACGGAGATGGTAACATCCTCCACAGCTTTATCTATTTAAAAGGTAGGCCTCTAATGTAAAGCTACTGCTTTGCCTTTCTACAGCTGGTGGAAAAAATGACACCTCAAAAGGGCACTTAATTCCACTTACTTCAGACATACTTTAGCTAGCTGGATTGTCCTGCAGAGGTTAGTCTCCCTTCATTGACCACAGAAAGAGCTTCAGTAACTACTTTACACTAGATTTCTAACTTTTAAATTGCTGAGGTTAATGAGCTGAATCCCACCTCAATTCCGCAACTTCAGAAAGGTGGAGAGCTGGCTTGAATGATCGTTTGTTTAGTTATTTTGCCAGTGCTGTGCCTGAGCAGATGTTTCTATTAAGCTGTCCACAAGGAATCCAGAACTTCTCCTGCGTGCTTGTCATTAATTTAGAAGTCAGTCATGTGTGAGTAGTTTAGGTTGTTCCTCTCAGAAGTCCATTACCTTTGCACTGAACTTTACCTATTTAAACTAATACACTTACGCCTTGCTTTCTTTAAATGGCTGTGGAAACAGTATAATGTAATAATTTGAGTCTGACCCGTGATGTTTTTAAAAAATTATGTGTGCTAGTATACATAGGAAACTTTCTTAACTCAGATTTTTGTTGTATATGCAAAGGATAACAGACATGCAGATTCAGATGATGGAATTAATAGATTGACAATTAAATACCTGGCAGTCTGCCTCAGGAATTCTGAAGAATAACATCTTCTGCCATTAAGTGGTATTATGTCAAAGTATATAAACACACCTTGTGTTCATCATCAGACCGCAAATAAATACTATCAAGAGACATGAAACCAGGCCAGATGGAGCACAAACCCAAGAGGCAGTTAACAAATAAATTAATTAACATTCAAATTGAAATAATTACAATTCTGATCACATACAAATATTGAGCTGTCAGATCTAAGCTTTGTTTGGAAATACAGCATTTGTTCATATTGATGGATGGAAGAATCAGCGTAACTATTGACTTGAAAGCTCAAAGTCTATTAAACACATCATCTCTGGATTCTACCCTTTGTTCACTGACACATCTGAGTGACGTTTGGTTAATGGTTTGGTCTTCATAATATATTTAGTGTAATCTCTCCCACAATGTGATGAACTATACTGGAAATGCAGATGAAAAGGTATATTCAGTGTTTTGCAAAGGGTTGCAGATGGGCAGCACTACCTTCAACATTTGTAGATATCTAGGCAGAGAAAGAGATAATCCATACTGAGTGGCAGACTACCAGGGCTTTTTATACTACATGTAATGACCATACATAATAGAGTTCAGAATAAAAACTAATTGTTTCATCATGCAACCCAGAGACAATAACAATACCTAATAATTAAGGAAGGGGAGCAACAGCTCATTATACAATGCTTAATATGAAGGGCTGGAGGATATAATTACCAAGAGTTCTCTCTAAGGTTCAGTCAGTAATAGATGTCAGACATGTAAGAGAAACCAGATTCTGCAGAGATGCATACGTATAAATACTCACATGCACACAGATGCACATAACCCATTGTGAATGGCATAATTGCAATCAATGGGCCTACTCACAGTGTCTATGACTTATTTACTCTGTGGTTTCTCTAAAATGGTCTGGTAGCAAGATTGGTCTGAACGTAGTAATCAAGTGCATTTACATTCATTACAATGATGTAAAAAGGCCTCAGTTTAACTAGGAATAAGGCCCAGGGTACATTAAGTTAAATACGTACATAAATCTTTGCACAATCAGAGCTTAAGGGCATTATGCAAAAGGTGGTGCTTTCAGATGAAGTCATTTGATACAAGCAGTTAGCATAATTCATGTTACTAAACAAATATGAATAAGGCAAGAAATGTATATTTAAGAGAAATTACTCTGAAAAAGCTCATTACTTTCTGATTATTATTTCTTCTGTGCCCTTTCTTACGTCATTTTTTTGTAAGTACATGTTGATACCTTCTGTGCCAAGGAAAATGAAAGCATGCTATTCTCTTTGCTTTAAATTACTGATCTGTAATTTCATAGACCAGGAAAGCTTCCTCCCCCCTCATTCTCTCTCCAACAGGATGTCTACTGAGCAGCAAAATAGAAGCCAAATTTAGTTACTGTTGAATTTCTTATGGTCTTCCTGTGCACCTGTCCCAGCACAGAACTGCTGATGAGAAGTGAGGCTGTCCATTCTCCTTGCCACGGAGCTACAAGAAGAGGAGAGGGTCTGTGCTCTGAAACTGCAACTGCAGACTGCGCAGTCCTCTCCCGTGTCCGCACTGTGACAGCAGCTACCCATGCACAAGCTGTTTACCACATTTGCAAAATATTTATTCTTCGTATACATTTTTGGCCCCTCATGTGGAAATATTATGATGACAGTTTGCCATTCACGGGCTGGATGCAGTGGAGTTTTGGAAAATGGTCACATCTCCTCACATATGGAGAATATACATGAATTAATGTATCTGCAAAAGGCATAGATTAAATCCACTTGTCTTCTATCAGTCACCAGTTATTAATCATGAATATCCTGGTCTTAATTAGGCCTTTTAGACAGTGGCTTAGGTTGCTGGCATTTTCTCATTTTCCTCACCATTTTCTTACAAAAAGAACCAGATAGGGCAAAAAATACAGTGCTGTACCTACATTGACAGAACTAAAGTAATGCAGCAGCCCCTCCCAGCTTGGTCAGGGTTACAGTAACATTGAGGTATGTGAATACAATTATATGTGTGTTTACATACATATCACTAAAAGATATTCCTATACTGGGAGGGAAATAAACTACTGGAGTTAGCATAATTATGACACTGAACCAATGCCCATCCTAGTCAAGCTATATTAGTAAAAGTACCAGTATGTCAGTATATAGGGAAAGAAAACCTATAGAGTTTGGCAGCTTAATAAACTGGTATAATAAACCCTGTATATGCCATAGCTGTCACAGTTGAAAAGGAGTATGCATCAGCTTGAACCACCCCTGTTGAAGTTTAACTGAGCACATTTCACTTCATAAGGGATCTGGTTAAGTATATGCACACGGCCAGTTAGTGCAGCTCATGAAAAGTTGCAACTGAGTATACTATGATAGCCAGGTTGTTCAGAACATTCAATTGCGTGTCCCTATCTTTTATTAAATGACATGGGAACTGCTAATGTTAGATTTTTATCTCTAACTGTTCCAGCTGCAAAGAGAACTTTGTCAGTGTACTTTGTCACTAACCAACATGACAGTTTCAAGTGTCAAGAACTGATCTCTCCAAGAAGTGTGGATTGCACTGCCAGAGGATGAAAGCTCAAATGCTTGGTCATGGCTGTTTATATACACTATTTAGTATTCCTGCTCACAGTGGTGAGGTAAGTATCGTATTTGGAAGGCCAGCACAAAGTACTCTTCTGTATTTTGCTTCCTTAACTGGGTATTCTCCAGGGAGCTCAATTCCACAGTAATGGCAATGTCCAACCCAGATGGACACATGAGCTGCAGTGAGGAAAGCTGAGATCCATGAGTATGAATGGACAGATTTAAACTACGGAATTACATCTGGACATCCTAGAAAATGGGCATGGATCACATTCAGCACATCTATCCAGTCTATCACAGGTAATGTTACACAAAGATGATTAAGGGACTGGAGCATCTGACATATGAGAAGTTGAGAGAGTTGGGACTGTTCAGCCTGTAGGATCTTGACAATGTGCATAAATACCTGGTGGTGGAGAGCAAAGAATATGGAGTCAAATTCTTCTCAGTGGTGCCCAATGAGAGGACAAAAGGCAATGGGCACAAATGCAAATCCAGGAAATCAGGAAATCCCTGTTAAACAGAGGAAAAAAAAAAAAATCAATGTGAGGATGGTCAAACACTGGACCAGGTTGCTCAGAGAGGCTGTGGTGCCTCCATCCTTGAAGATGTTCAAAACAGCTGGACACAGTCCAAGGCAACCTGCTGTAGCTGACCCTGCTTTGAGGAGAGAGATGGACCAAGATAATTTCCAGAGGTGCCTGCCAACCTCAACCATTCCCTAATTCTGTGATTCTGCACTGACATGCTTCAAAGTGAGAGTTAATTTGTCTCTGGAGCTAGAAAGATTGTTACCTTTTCTTTCACTTCAGTTACCTTCTCCTAGTTCGACCCTTTATATCAGTGCTGCTGTTTGCCCAGACTGTGATTATTTCCCCTCTAACTCTTCCACTGACTTCAAAGGGAATTAGACGATTTTCTAAAGAATATAATGTTAAGGTGTCAAAGACGCCCATTTTCTCTACTGAGGAAATCAGTGGGAATGAGATACTTAGCCCACCTGTGAGTTTCTGTGAATCCAGCTACATTCCTAAAATCTTTAATATTTTTTAGCCATAAATATATCTGGTCCTAATAATTTCCTGGCCCAAATCAAATTCTTCTGTCGTTAAGAACTCAACCCTTTTGTGGATTTGCAGCTTTGGTCACAGCATTTATTCCATTCAATACTTTCCCATTTTCTGTATTTGTTGTGATCAAAGTTATCTTTTAAAATATTAATGTTTTACAAGCCCTTGTTAACTCTATTACACTGACTCTTGTTTTCCCTCTGTACTTCCTCCCCCACCTCCATCTAGATTTTCTTACAGTTTCTGTTTTCCTGTCAAAGTAGAATTTCTTTAATAACCACAAGACTCCTTTAAGCATGAAAAATCCATCTGCACTGAAGCTTATGGAACTTCTGTCTGGACTTCAGCAGTAAAAGCTGAAGTTATATTTTAGCAGTCAAAGTTGATTATGATTCTGAGAGGAACCAGTTCAACGTTTTGAAGATCTTTGTATGAACTGAATACATGCCAAATAATTTTGAGAAATTAACACTGGAACACTTGAATAAGAAGACATTGTATGGTCTTTTTACAAAGTCTCTCTCTCTACATATATGTAATAGAGTGTGCAAGAGAGTGAGCATATGATTACATACATACATATACATAATATGAGTATACATATATACTTCATGTATACACACACAAATATATATATGTACACAAATATATACACGAATATATATGTGTATATATACTATGCTATATATATAGTATATACATGCACACATATATATATATACTATATATAATATACTCATACACATCACTCAGTTCTAACCACAATATAGTCCATTGATTTTAGTAAATGTAGCCATTATTTCTCTGTAATGAAAACACCTCTGCATGACTGATTAGAAGGCAATATTGGATACTACCGACTTCTCTTTACTGTACTGCAGGTGTTAATGCAATTAGAAGTGCTACGCTTCCATGATTAAATTTCCCTTCAGGAAAAAAGGAAGTATTTGTTCTTCATTAGCATTTTTGCTAGATGGGATCCCACAATCCAGTCTCAGGAACAAATGAGGCATTTTCACTCATCACTGCAGATGCAGTGTATTTGTGAAATAGGCTTTTAAGAAATGCAAATCAAGCAAAAGCTATGAAAAAACATGCAGGCGGGAAAAATCCCAAACTACTGATAAGAGTGCCACTCCTCTTTGGCAGAGTGCTCTCCTGGAAAACTGCACAGTGAAGGGCTTGAAGTCAGCAGCCTGAGTGCACTTGGTTGGAAGCAACTATGAATCCCTGCAGCCAAATGCCTGTGAATTTTTAGTAATCTATATGAAACAGGCTACTGCTTTCAAGCATTTTTTGGTGGCCCACTGCTCCCATTACAGATTTACTCCACTAACCTATCCTGTAACTTTGGTAGAGATGGCAATTTGTGGTCAGATAAAAACTGACCAGATCCTTTAGCCCTGAGGGTGGATTTCCAGATGTCGTGGTGTCATGGTTTAGGCCTGATTGGCAGCCAACCACAATGCAGCAGCTCTCTCTCCCTTCCCCTCCAGCAATGAGAAGGGACAGAGAGCCAGGCTTGGGGTTCAAGATAGGACTGGGATGGGGGAAAAAAATCCCCCTTTTATGATCACGAGCAAAAGGCAGACTCGTTAGGGGAAGAAAAAAAGAACATACATTTATTACAGACACTAACAACACATAACAGAGTAGGACAGTGAGAAGCATTGCCACATCTTGAGAACACCTTCCCCCCACCCCTCCCTTCTTCCCGGGCTCAGTTCTGCTCCCGATATCTCTACCTCCTCCCCCAGTGGTGCAGGGGCAGGGAATGGGGGGTGCAGTCAGTGCTGCCACTTTCTTCATCTTCAGTGAGGGGAGTGTCCAAAACTTGTTCCTCCTGCTCCATCGTGGTCCCCCTCTCACAGGAGACAGTCCTCCACAAACTTTCTCCGACTTCAATTCCTCCCATGGGCTGCAGCGTTCCCCACACTGCTCCATCATGGGTCACTAACTTCCTCCGATTGGATTCTCTCCCACGGCTGCAGCCCTTCCCGAGCTGCTCTGGTGTGGGACTCCCTCGCATGCTGCAATCCTCCCAGCACTGAATTACAGCAGCGGGGCTACCTTTTCCCACGAGACCCCGGCCTTCTTTGGGCACAGAACCTTGATCAGGCAAGCAGAAGCCACAGGCCGTAAATCAATGTCTGCTCCACCGTAGATCTTCATGGGTGGCAGGGGGGGCCGCCCTGCCGTCTCACCACAGGATACAGGGGGGTCTCTGCTCCGGCACACCTCCCCCCTCCTTTCTTCCTCTGTTCCTCCACTGACCTTGGTGTTCATGCAGCTGCAGCAACTCCTCCTCACAAGTCCGACTGCACGTCACCATGTCCCTTCTTAAATACGTTATCGCAGAGACGCAGCCGATTGGCTCAATTTTCCAAACAGAAGTGGAGCTGACTTGGAGCTGGGGGAGCTTCGAGAAGCTTCTCACAGGGGGCTGCCCCGATAGCCCCCTCCCCTGCCACCAAAAAACTCCACCACTCTCTCAACCCAGGACACCAGACCATATTATAAGGGTAATATTGTGAATTTTTTATGGCAAAGCATCTCTTCAGATATAATGCATTCAGGCTGAGAGGCTGTTAATCCATCCAGTGTTGTGAGCAATGTGCTTGTTTAATTATATTCCCAGGCAAATGAAGATCTCAGTTGGCTGAGTCCTCATTCTCTCCTCTCCTCTCCTCTCACTGCCTCCACATTTATTAATGATGGAAAGCCCCTTAATTGTGGTTAGGTATCTTCTTCAAAGAGTCATTTACTGTAAAAATCATCAGGCTTTATCCTGGATAACATGTCACTTAGGGTACTAAGGAAATACTGAGTGTGGAATCAAAGATGTGGGAGTCATGAAATACAATTCTCTGGGAGATCTTAATGTTTCAGTATATGCCTTACTTTTCATCAAGAACTTCCAGAAGAATATGAAGTTCAAAAATAAATACTGAATAAGTATTACTTAAGCATTTATTTTCCAGTAAAAAGCAATCTTTTTAATTTATGTAGTACATGACATATTGTGGTATATTGTATAGAGGAACAAAAAGTCTAAACGAGTTAGAAGTAAAAATACACTATATTTACATTATCAGAATAGCTCCTTGGAAAGATTTACCCCAGAGGATGTCATTAGAACTGATTTATTCACTCAAAATATTTCCATTTCAATGAAATTGTGTTTTCTGATGGAAACACTTTTCCTCATTTTTTCAACTACTTCTCTTTAGTATTTTGTTAAATCTGAAAGCATATTGCTCAATCTTTTCTTCCTGAAGGGAAATGCTTAAGTCCCAGACACATTTCATTTGGTTAAACTTAGAGACACTTATAATATTTCTTCGCACATTGTGCACCTTCCTTGTCAGAAAGCTAGTGAAATGAATATTTTTTTAAGCCATTACTGAAGAATTTTTATTTAATAAAATTCTGATCAGTAACTTTAAACACTACATTGTCTGTCTCAATTTTATGTAAGTTTCACACAGGTAATTTCTGAATTCCTTGAAAATCTACACACATTCAGAATCCAAGCTATTATTTCTGTTGCCTGCCATAGATATATATTGTCAGACAGAAATTTAACGCTGTGTTGCTTAATATTTTCTTTCATCACACTCTCATGAAATATTGATAATATGCCCTTAAGAGGTCAGACCTTGTCCTATGCAGTATCTTTTTCTGTGAAACTGTCATAAAATTCTTTTTTCTTACTTTATTATCTCATTGGTAATATCCTGGGCTGCTCATTTTTTATGCATGCATACTGTTTTCTTTCATTAGGCACAGTTCAACTCTCCTGCAAGGGCCAGTGCATGACACACAGATGAGGGAGGAGAAGCCATTTGAAGAAGCTGTTGACTGGTTTTCTTCCCTTATCTGACATGCTTGTTCCCATTGCCACTTCATGGTTCTTTTTTCCACCGACTCAGTGGTACCTCTGACACTGCACCGATTGGAGGGTCACTGAAATTAGGGGTTATTTTGGGGAGGGTTCTTCTTTTAACCATTTATGTGACATGCAGTATGGCCCCATAAACTACTACCTTCCATAGCACTGAGGGGGTGAGGGAGAGGACTCAGCAGCAGGATGGATGGGAAATGAATGAGACTTCATAAGCCAGCTTTGCTGCCGAAACCCAGCTGCCGTTGAACTATGGCTTCAGGCAACTTTGCTAATGTTATGGTAATTGATGGCTTGGAAGAATAACATCTACATGTCAGCTATTTAATTTTCAGTTTTGTGCTTGACCAGTGTTAAGTAAAATGATACAGGGTAAACAAACCAACCAACCCTGAATCCTTTGCCCAGACCTGATTAAAATCAGACATTTGGATGGTGCAAACCAAGGGGATCCCATGACCTTTTGAAGGAAGTAGAATGGTCTAGTGAAAGGGAGGAATGCAATGGAAGGAGAAGTAGGCAGCCAAGGGAGATATCTGAGACTTCTTGAAGCCAACATGACATTCCCTGTTAGCTTCAAGAGGACAGAGATATCACACTGGGCTCTGTTCCTCGCTCTGAAACAGAACTTAATTATGTTGGCTGCTATGTCTTCATTTACATCTTTTCCAAATAATTCCCTACACGCTTTCAGCACTTTAAAGAGAGAATAAGCATGTGGATACAACTTCTCAGTGACCCCAGAGAACTGCATAACACGGCTGAGGTCACTGGATCTTTGCCACCTTTTGTGCTCATTTGGGCTCTAGGCTAACATATCTGTGAAATGCCTGTCTTTTGTCAGCTAAAAAGTATTTTACCCAATACAAGGTGACACTGGGTTGGACTTTATAATATATAAAAAATGAATTAATAACCAGACCAAAATTTATGGTTGCTTAAAGACTAGTCATCATGTATTTCATAGAAAGAAAATAATAAGATCTTCCAAAGAGAAAGGAAAAACCAAAATAAATGGCTGGAGTCTGAAGCCAGGGAAAATCAAAGCAAAAAGTAGGTACAATTGATTAAAATACCTTGTATTGTGAATTTGACCTCCCCTGGCCTCCCAAGTCCTTCACACTTAGGAAACATTTGTAAACAGAAAACTAGGAAAAAGTGATTTGGATGGTTAGAACTTGAAACTTTAACACAATGAATTTCAATTTAGAAGACTTCAGAAAAAAAATAGAAGAAAACCAAAACAAAAGAACTCCAAAGTGCTAAACAACATTTTCACAAAGCTAATTTTGTGACAAAATAGTCTGAAATGGCATGCCAGAATCTGTTTGCCTGTCAGCTCTGCTGCTATGTAACTTACAAATATGCTATTAACATTCTAGCACCTCATCCTAGCACTTACTTTCATACAAAATTAGCCCTGCATACAAGATGTACACACATGTCTTTTTGTGACATAGCAACGCTGATTTGAAAACTGGAATTCACAGTAACCCAATAAAAATGAGGGCTGTAAATTAACTGGGCGTAATGTAGGCTTTGCAGTTCTCCAGAGTCCTTGAATAAATACAAAAATAAATGAGGAAGAAATGGAAGTGAAAAGAAACAGCCTTTTCTTCAGATGGTCTGCATTTCTAATTGAAGATTTTGTCTGGCATTTGTTGGCAGGAGCATGGAACACACAGCATGAAAGGTCAATAATGAGTCTAATACATGGAAAAAAATGCCTTACTGGAGTAGTTGATGGACACCGTCAGTTTTGGAGTTACATATCCTGCTTGTTTGCCCATTTCAAAGCCCTTTCTAACACTTTAGTGATACAAGGCCATCACATTGACTGACAAAGACCTAATCACTTCAGGTTCCAAATTAGGAGATATAGGGGAAAATTTGTTAGTACTTTGTGTCTATCCAGTTCACATAGCTGGTACAAACCCCATATTTATAAAAGAATAATGCTGAAGAGAAAATGCACATTTCCTTCTGCATCACTAATAGGCTGTGCCAGGGGTATTTTAATGGCTTGGAAAATGTTAGTGGTATATGAGAACAGACAAATTAAAAAGAAACTTTACAAAACATACCTGAATCACAGTGACACTTCACATTCATCCAGTGCTGTTTTATTTAACAATTCTCAATAATTGCATTTTAGACTATTTTGTGCTTAGCCTCAGGGGAATTCTCTGCTGACTTCTACAATACAAAATGAATATATTTATTTACGTGATGAGTTCTCCAGGGGCAAAGACTGGCTCTTATCATGTGTTTTTTACTGGGCCTGGCACAGTGGGTTTTGTCTTGATGGTGTTGTAATACAAGCAAGTAACATATCTGAAAGCCAGAAGGTGCACTGTAATCACCCACTTTGATCTGCAAAACAAAATGGCAGGGGTTTAGGAGGATTCAAGTCCTGGCCGCTTAGGAAGTAAAGTGAACTATACAGTATAAGGAGTTTAATGGCTTCCTACATAACAGTCATTCATCACTAACAAGGAGAATATGAATCCTTTTGCATTCATTCCACAACCTCAAGCCACTCACTAATAGTGACAACAATGAATAATACCAGAAGCTAGTGAAATATATTTGATTTCCTTTCATTTCATTCTTCCCAGAAACTCAGCAGTGGTTCTGTATTAAATCTGATGCTTATATTAAACTACATTTTCAATAGTGTTTAAATTGAAATTATGCACCCAGATGCCAGCTGAGAGTCTGCATTTGATGGGTCTGATGATAAAATGGAGGAAAGACCAACTCACGAAATTTAGGAAGCCAAGGTCTTTTGGCATGGCCAAGGCCATGCTCTAGATAGTAAAGTAAATTTTTTAGATAACCTGTTGTTTTCATTATCTGTACATGGCTTTGATCTGTTTTAATTCATTACCTTCAGCATTTCAGTCCTCGAGGATCACAGCTTCAGATTAGCAAGAAACCCTGGAGTTACTGAAGCGCAGTGTAGGGTTTTGAGCTTTGCATCTTTCATTGGAGTCACTCTTTCAGCCATCTGAAGAGTAAGAAATGCCTAATAAAAAAACAGAAATGGCCAACTCAATGTCTGTAACATCTTTTTCCTGACACATCTTTCAGGTTCATTCAAAAATATTTCACTAGACCCTGATCCTTAAGTGACATAAATCAGTGCAGCTTCACTGATGTTAAAGAACCTGGATTTAACAGCAGTTGAGATTAAAGCCTGTGCTCTTTATATTATAGAGTCAGTATTTACATTTGCAAGTAGTATGGTGCATGGAGTAGAAAGAGCATGGATCTCAACCTACAGAACGAAACAGAGATACAGGGGAACCAATACTGTGTGTGATACAGGGATTTTGCTCTGGGTCAGTGAACACCCAGTAGCAGTTGGCATACAGCAGGGGTGCTGCTGGAGCACTGGCATACAGTACAGTGCTCGGTGCTTATGGTTTAGCTTCATCCTAAAGGATTCTGGTTTAGGTGCTCCAAGACTACACCAATATGCAGACCAAAGCATGTTTAGGTGAGATGACTGGGAAACCTGTTTCAAAGCACAGTTCTGATATGAAGAAACATGAATCAACAGCATGAGTCAACATTGTAAATCTAGAGTGTTCTCTCAAAGCACATAAATTGACCTTAATTTTGAAACATGCCCCTTCAGGACTGCACCAACTATGTGTGTTATTAGAATCTTGAATGTTCTTCAGAAGAGCATTTTGACCAAGAGCTATATGAACATAATCTGCTTTCAGCCTTCTGAGCATTTCTCATTTATGAAAACTCTAATTTTCATATTCTCCAATGATGGGCAAAATGGAATACAACAGTAATGTGTTGTCTCATTAGTTGTTTCATACTAGGGTCACAGGGCATAGTTTCAGGTTCAAACTCAGAGTACCTGCCTAGATGCCTATAACTGGATTGAGAGAATACTGTCAATGACCTTAACAAGAAAAAAGTCTCCTCCTAGTAAATACTGTTTCACTGTGCTAAAGTCCTATTGTAAACAGAATGGATGTCTTTAGACTATTGTCTAATTAATCAAATTAAGTTTAAACTCCCTGAAGCTTTAAGTTTAGTATATAACAAAGGTAAGCCACTGCCAGCTTTATTGAGGAAGAATTTTGCCTTAAATATTAATGCAAGCAACAAGACATTTTGAAACACCAGTGGATGGATTGCGGGAATGAACATTTAAGTGCAGCTTGTTCAGACTTGTGCTGGTATTTGGTGCTGAAAAGAGCTTTTAGTGATGTCTGTGGGAAACTTCAAATAACAGCTTTAAGGATTTGCCTGACAATGAGCCTAGAGAAAATACCCTGGAATTACAAGATATTTTCCTTTCAAAATAATCACACGTTAATCATATATATTATAATAAGTAATATCACGTCTTCACTCAAGAAAAATTCATTTTCTGTATTTCTAATACTTGAATCTGGGCTCAAATCACAGGTGGTAAATACTATTTGCAGTTATCAGTTTTCATTGCCTTTCAGGTAGAAACCTTTTTTTTCAACTTTGGTTGAATTAATAAGACAAAAATATATATGTGCTCAGGAAATGTATCTGTTTTGCCTGTCACTCAGAGTGGAAATAAAAAAGCAGGAAAATTTATTGGAATAAAAAAGCTAGCAATTCCAATTCAAATAAATAAAATATTTCTTATAATTTAAGCATAGGATTCAGCTAATACAATTATCATTTACAGTGTAAGCATGTACCTTGGAGCTAGAACTCTTTTCCAATGAATAGAGTGAACTAAACACTTTTAAGGTGCAAAAAATACAACCCATTTCGGATATCTACTTTAGGAATAAATTAATTTGCCCTTTGTTTCTTTCAACTGACCATCAGATGATATCATACAAGTAAGCATCTACCTTAAGTCTGATGAATTCTATTTTAATTGAAAAAAAACCCCAAACAAGTTCCATAGAATATAAGCAACAGTTGAGGTTTTGAAATGTTTTACCTGAGGGTTTTTTTGTTCTTTTGCTTTGTTTTCTTTTTTGCCTTCGTATGAAGCATTACACTCATGTCACAGGTAGCTATGACTGAGATGGACTCATATTTCTAAATGCATTAAAATGTCTTGAGTGCTGCTAATTTACTGGAGCTAAACCACAAGCAGTGGACATAAGGAATATTTTTATCCTGGGTCAGATTGGCTGAACTTTGGGATATTTTTGCTCTCTCTGAAGTAAGGAATTTGCTCCTCTTTCTAGGCTCACCTGAATGTTTGTATTTGTGCTTCTCTACTCCTACAGTTGTCCAGCTTTTCACCTCATATCTCCTTCCATCCTGGCCTATTCCAGTGCTATGTTACAGTTCTGGTTGGGTTTTCTCTTGTTTAGATGCTACTCTGGACTCTTGAAAGTGCTGTGTAATGGTGAGGTGGTGCGATGAGTATGTGGACCCTTCTAAATTAGACATATCTATTGTGGCACACATCATGCTATGTTTAATAAGATCACAGAGAACTGGATTTGAGGGATCAGATGGTCCTCTTGAGCCCTCTGTTCCCATATTCCCACAAAAGCCTGCAATACAAGTAGCATAGATCTAGATCCAAAAATTCACTTAACTGCGAACTCATGAGTAGTCATATTGCCATCAACAGCATGAACAAAAGTTAGGCACATGTTTGTCAAGGTCACATTCAGGTCAAGAAAGTGTAAAATGAGGCTTTTCATAAGGTAGACATATTTGTATAGTTGTAGGTATTCTATATCTTCTGAATTATTTGCCAGAAAGGTTAGGTTTGGACTCATAAATTTTCCTGGAATATTACCTAGGTCCCTGCAGATCTATAAGCAAATACCCATTCACCCAGTATCATACCAAATCTAAATACCCCCAAAGAGTTTTTGTTTTTAACATTATCTGGATAAAGTCAGTTTCACTCCCTGTGTAAATTCCCATTGACTCAAAAGGGTGACAGCATCTGTTTTACCTGCCCATTAATACCTTCATGTGATGAGTATGAAAACAGGGTATAAAAAGGAAGGACACCAATAACAGGAGAGAAAACAAATTAGAATATTACTTGAATTAATTTTGAAGATTTCTTGTGAGAGCTTCATTCTAGTCCAGCTTCTTCACATCATATGAAAGGGACGAGGCAGCAGGAGGTGTTATGTAGGCATTGCTAAAACTCTGCTTTCACAGTAGGATAATTCCTCTGGCTTAAGTGCCACAGAAAGCAGTCCTCTTAGGCCCTGGAAGTGGCAGGGGTATGTTCAGCGCAGGATGCAGGTAATGATGCAGAACTGAGTCACAGTTTGGTCCATTGGGCAGCATAAGGTGAAGGAGGATGTCTTTTAGGCCTGGAAAATCTTCTGAATTATGCCTGGGGACTCTTACTTTTTAATTATCTCTCACAGCCATTGAGCATGACAGAAGCTGTGTATTGCAGTGTCTGAGAACTAACCGGGAATCCTCATGTAACGTAAGAGTTTACGCAACTTAGTGATAGCTAAGTAATAGCTAATATGGGAGCCTCTTAAAGTATGATCCTTTACAAGCAGATGTTTTCATGCTTTCACTTCTTGCTTTTATGTTCCAAAGCTGTGTACTAACACAGAGAAGGGAGTGCTGTTAAACCTGACACCATCCCCCATCCACCTAGTGTCTTTCCCCTCTCTTGAACAGGAGTTGGCAAAGTGGTGTACTAAATCTTGTTAATACTTTTGGTTGGTTTATCCTTCCCTTTTTGACATTGCATCTTGTATCTGTCATTTTTATAGATGTACATAAAATTGGTTTAAGGAACAGCTTCAGTTTGGCATCCATTTTTTAACCAGTGTTGCTCATAAATCATACACAATATGTATCAGTTTTAAGAGGAAAAGACATGGATGTCCAAGGCTTATGAATTCCTTGCAGCTCATAAATTCTCCTGGAAACCTGACTTCTAATGATGTGGGCATACAGTTTCAACTTTAATTTTTCTGTAACTTTTACTAAGCCTAAGACCAAACTTTAAAATCTGACCTCCCATAAAGAGGTCATGAATTGCATCTGTTTATTCATTTTGTTAGAAACTCATCATTACTGAGCCTGGAAGATTTTTCTCTGTCTTGGATTATATTGATAAAGAGGACAATATTGATGTACAGAGATGGGATGAAGTGGGAAGGTTCACTTTCCTAAATTAGCTATGGAAGTTTGAATCCAAAAGCTGCAGAACCACTTTGTATGCCACTGATTTCTGGTGGCATTGTGGTACCAACTTGTATTTTTGTACATCAAAGTTATATCTTTGTTCTGTTGCTTTTTCACATGAGTTTTCTCACCTCTTAGGCAACTCTTAGAAAACTTCAGTACCTGAGAATTTTAAAGTCATCTGCCCAGGAACCAAACCAATACAGATCTCTTAAAGGTGAGTATTGGAAAAAGGATATCTTCTCCCAGGAAAATATTTTGATATGATAATTCTATAATTTCAAGAAGGGTTTTACCCACAGACTGAGGCTGATCACAATTTCTGAGACTGAACTGATGTGTTTGTTGTTTGTGGAGGAATGGGACATTTCATTTATAAAAGCAGTGTTGATTTCAATCAACACTAACAAAGTATTTCATCGGCCTACTGAAATGCATGTATGATGTTTAGTGTATACCTCAAGGAAAAATGGCTACTACTGAATTTTTTGAGAACTCAGCATTTACCTCATCAAAACTGTCAGGAAAAATCAAAGCATTTTCATAAAGTCATACTGAAATTTTTTGGGGGGGCAAGGGATTGAGGATATTTTCATTAAAAATCTTATAATAGTGCTGTAATTTAAAATAGAACATGCCTAAAACATTTGGGGTTCATGTAATTTAAATGTAGGACTTCTGATTATATTAAATTTATGTGCTGCTTTAAGACATTTAAGACTTCACTTTTTCTTATACCCATGAAGTGAGTAATCCTTTTCTTGATTAGCTATGTACTTAAAAAAAAAAAAATCAGCCTTCCTCTTTAAAGGGAAATTTATTGTTACAGTTCCTCTGTGTTTTCTGAGCTTTTCGTATCTACATGGCACAGTGACCTGG